AAAAAAAGAAAGAAAAAACAAAAGCAGTATTCTCAAAGAAATCAAGAGCATTTTGAATGTCATAACAGAAATTCAAGGTAGAAAACTCAAAAATAATGAGCATAGTTGAATAGGCTTTGGAAAACGATCCACATAATTTCTGAGTGTTTTAAAAGGGTTGGGATATTTTGACTGGAACAGGAAACAGAGCTAATATTTTTTTCTGGGCTCAGGAATTGTACAACGTGGACATTTATAGCATCCAGCAGCATAGCATCTACGAGTTCTCTCTACTCTTTTCCACTATGAATGTCTTAATATTCCATGTGTGCTGTAACTGGAATAAGTTTGAATACATTATTTGATGTCAGCCATTCCAAAGAATCTTCCAGAGGTAAAAATCAAAGTCCAGTGTCTACAAGGATGATTGCAGCTTGGAATCCATTGGTTTATAATCATCTGACGGTAAACCTACCGAAGCACCACAGTACTGTTACTGTGCTTTTGATGTCTTCCCCAGTCCCCTGCACTAGTGACACTGTTGACACTTAATATTTTTGTTCATTTGCAAAGATGGCTTTTATAGGTTGAGGATTGCTCTCATTAAACTGGAAACAATAAAGTGATGACAGTTGTCAGTCACCCACTATTCTAAGTTTGACCCAGTACTTTGTGCAGCAATTGGAAGGGATTGGCTGTGAGTGTGGGCTTGATTTTTCTGTTCTGTTTCCCTTAGAAACGCTCCAGAGGGCAAGTGCTATTTGATAAAGTGTGCGAGCATCTGAACCTACTAGAAAAAGACTACTTTGGCCTCACATATCGAGATGCTGAAAACCAGAAGGTGAGAAATTAGAATACGAAATGTCATTGCATGCTTTTCTCACCTCTTCCGCACATGGGCACATTTATGACTTGGGTCATAATCATCCTTCTTCACAAAGGAAATCCTTGACAACTTTCTCGATCCTTAGATGTTTTGAAACAGTAAGTCAGCTCTTCTACTTGAGGTTATGTGTAGTTACCAGGAAGTGTTTTACAGGATGCCCTTAAACTTACGAAAATCAAATGTTTGTATACTTTCCTATCACCAAAATTTATGAGAATAATTTCTTTTAAGGCTAAGCATGGTGACTGAATATAATCTGCCTACTTTATGCTTCCGCAATCCCTGGGATCATGGGTACACCCTACCACTTTGAGCTTCCCTTTATCTCATGGACTTCTCTGCTCCAAGATCCTTCCAGGTTCAGCCGCCTAAGTAGCTAGGCTGATAGACATGAGCCATGGACACTCAACTTACTTTTATGTTCATACTAAGTAGAAGACAAAGTGGGTCATTTGTTGACCTGACATCTGTTCTAATGCACTTTGTAGGTGTTTAATGTTTAAAGTACTACCTAGATAAATGCTTTCACCTGAGTATTGTCATCAGCTCAAGGCTTTACCTTACAACTACTTGAGAAAAAAGAGAGGGGAACTTGTTTCCATTGTCTAAAAACTGAGTTTTGCTCTTACATGTGTTACGTATTTTGGTTCAGGCTTATTCTGACTGAAGTTACCAGAAATTGTCTTCCTTTGTTATTAAAGATCTGATTCTTCACAAATCTTAAGCAAATAATTATTCATTACAAAATTGTAAGTAGATGCCTTAAAAAAAATCTGTAATTCCAGAAGTTCCCAAGGGAAGAGTAAAGGACTAGGGTGTCTGTGTGTCAAATTATGTGCATCTTGTTTGAATGTAGGACCTCCTACCATTATTTTTCTCTATTCTCATGCTACTTCAAATCCCTGGAGGCAATGAAGAAAAAAATATTATCAATCATGAATTGTACATAGAGTTTTTTTTCAGTAGACTGTATCTGAGCCCTCACAGGGCTCAGCAGGCCACCAGATAAGGCCACTGTAGGGAGGGTCTTCTCCTCCTACCCCCCTTTCCCTCTCACTCTGTGCATTTAGAGCCTGTCTGTGTCTAATCAACATTTTTGTCATCCTTTGATTGAAATTCAAAAATCTCATTTCCTTTTCAGAATTGGTTGGACCCTGCTAAGGAAATTAAAAAACAGATTCGAAGTAAGTTATTTTGGATTATTTTATATAGGACCATAAAGCATGTTAGAGAGCTGGTAATCCGTGTCTAAGTGGCTGGTGTGGATACCATGTTATTACAAGGCAGAATGCAGGTTCAAATTTGATCTAGTACATTGGTCTAGCTCAAACAGTAACCTTTTTTTTTCTTAGCAGCTCAGAAATTAAAATGACTTTGACACATGACCTATTCCTCTGTCTATACATAGATATGAAATACAGTAGTTAATCAAGTGATACTCCAACTGGAGGAAATCATTTAAAGTTCTCAACTCAGTTATTAATGTCATAGTAAATCTGTTTTGAACATAAAAAAGCTAACATACAAGTAATGTTGTTCTTTATTTCATTTAGTTTTTTATTTCTGATAACAAATCAGAACGAAGTTTATTGTCTAGTGACAACCTCTCTTCTTGCTCCACAAAGGCAAGTTAAGAGATCTGTATTTTCTAGTGGACAAAATAATTCCACAAGCAACTCAAAAAACTGAAATTCCCATAGCTGATGAGTATTAAGCAAATTGCTAAATCATAATGATTAAGTGCAAATTAAAATGAGACATTTTCACCTATTTAGATTAGCAAAGATTAATAAGTTTAATACTAAACTACATGGCCCTGTATATACTCCACTGGTAGAATTATAAATTAGTGCAAACATGTAAGAAGGCAATTTATCAGACGTTATTAAAGTTTAAAATATAATTACTCTTTGACCTTTAATTTTACTTGAAGAATTTTGTGCAACAAATGTATTATAGAATTATTATAGAATGTATTATACACACATGAAAGTTTTTTATAATGATGTTTACAGTAGCAGAAAACTAGAAGCAATTTTAAGTGACCTTGTATAATGATTAAGTTAATCATGGACTCATGATTTAAATACATCTTAGCTCTTGTAAGTGAAAATTACTTTGCAAAATAGTATCTATAGTACAACAACATTTGTTTTTAAATGAAACATATATGAGTACATGGAAAAATTGGAAAACATGAAAAATATTAACATAAATTACCTCTAGAAGTGGCCCACAGCATAAAGGGGTTGACAAAAAGGAAATTTTTGACTATTTTACCATTCTCTGCAAGAATAATCCTTACAATTTTAAACAATGACTTAATTTAAAATTGTAAGCCAGGCCCAAAGAAACATAGGTCCCATGGTTTCCCTTATTTGCAATAACTAGTATATGTCTGAGGCAAGTAGAAAAGGTCAGATAAGTTGATGTTAGGTGAAATGAACCCCAAGATAAGTATTCAGATGCTTTTTTTCTTTCATGAAATTGTTTCTAACATATTTATAAGATGATTTCTTTGTTGCTTTGTATATCCCTCCCCCACGGTATAACCCCTGCTTTCA